CAGTGTTGTTACCTCCCCCGCACCCCCACCCACCCAGTTCCTCCGTCACCTGGGCTGAGTTAAAGCTGATGGCTGGGTCTCTCTAATCATACTTGAGCCCCAAACAGTCCATTCACAAAATACCAAAGCAAGCCTTTCAAGACAGGCACTGTTATGTCACAGCCCTGTGTAAAGCCCTCTATTTAAATTTAAGTTGGTCAGGTTCTTTGTCAGACTTTTTAGCTGACAGGAGCAGATGCAGGTAATGATTGGTATTAATTCTTCATAAACTTTGTCACTCGTTCTCTTTATTACTTGTTCAGTCTTATTCTGCAAGTGAATTAAGTTATGTACTTTTATTAATTTAATGCTTGGAAAACCTTTTCTACTCATTATTTCAAGTTTATAGAAAAGTAAGAATCAATTTTCTAAAATATATTGAGAAAGTTCATTTTTGTGAGGCATTGCAGGCTAAAAGAAGACTGGTTTATTGACTGTTCGTTGATTCATAGCTACAAGTCATGAAATTTCCTAAACAAAAAAAAGAAAAAATACAAGAGATACCTTCTTCCTTGTGGCTGAATGTGATTGATCACCCCAAAAGGAGTAGCATGAATTTAGAAATGTTTGGAAAAGGCTAAACTCTAGAGAGGCCAGTGATCTGTGTGGGCTGTAAGAAGAGGCATACACAGCATGCTTCTAGACCAGGTCTCACCTCACTTAGAGGCAGAAACGCACAGAGTATATTCTCGCAGAGAGTGAGTGGACAGATGATTTCGACCAGTGCAAAACATTTGCACATAGGGCTGCTTTTAGAAGTGACTCAGCGCCTTGAGTGCTAAGCTAGAAAGTTCGGGCTTCTATTACAGGCAGTAGTTCAAATTATTGTGCTAACTGACATTTTAATTAGTTGGAAATATTCACATATTTGTTTTAGCTCTCTGTTATAATTAATTACATTACATTCATTTTTCTATGTGAATTCTTTGATAAATTCAAAACATACTTCCACTTGAAGTCACCATAAATTACATTGCAGAAGGTATAATGAGGACTTTGGATCAGGTACTTCGGTTGAAAGCCGGTTTTGCATTGTGACATTTGGTAAGCTACCAAACTTTTCTGAGCTTTGGGGATAATGAACACCAGTGCCATAGATCTGTTATGAAACATGAATGCTTAGATGATGAGAATTTAATATCTAATTCTAAAAAGGTAGAACAGTATATAAATTATTCTACTTTAAAATGTTACTCTGATCTAATATTAACCATGAACTATTTCTAGCACTTTAACATAGCTGTTATATATAGCTGATAACATAGCTGTATGTTAAGTAATATATACATAAGTTATATATATTTGTATAGACCATAATTTGTCATCCTTAATTGCAGAACCCCAAAAGTTCAGAGAGTGTGTTTATAGTCTGTTTTTATCCTACTGAGTTCAAGTAATCTTTATATAATGTTTTCCATGCAAAATACATTTATCCCGTGACCCAGCAATTCCACTTCTAGGTAATTATCCAAGAGAATTGAAAACTTAGGTTTACCCAAAAAAGGCCTTGTACAAGAATTTTCATTGCAGCTTTATTCACAGTACCCCAAAACTAGAGCACCCAAGTATCCAGTCATGTCTTGAGACCCAGAGCATCATGTTCTGTGAGTGCAGAGTGTATGGGAGTGCTGAGGATGCAGGAGAGGCTGCTTTCCGGACTGTTCTGCCAGGAGACGTGGAGGGAGCCTGCCCCACATGACGCGATGCAGTGTGTACCGTAATTTGTCACTTGTGTCAGCGGCCTCCAGCGGCTGTGTCACCATGGTCCACGTGGCCGACATCAAGTGAAGGTGGCGCTGCACTGGTTTTCATTCTCTGCTGATGTCACTGGATTGATTGTTTTGTTTCCTACACCCTGCAGACGTGCATGCACACACCTGTATACACATGCCTTACACATGCACACATGTGTGCATCTTCCGTCATCTTTTTCTTTGTCTTTCTCCCAAGTTTGACATTGCATCACCAGCTAATGAGTATGGTTATATTGTTACTCAAAAGAAACTGTTCAGTGAAAACATGTGTTCAAGCACCTCTTTGTACAGTGCTGTGTATGAGGCATTGTGATTCATCATTTCTTTCATTTCTTTCATCTTTGTTTCTGCTTAATTTTTGGACATTTTCAAATACGTACCACTTTTTCACTATGGAAGATCACTGAAGGTATACTTACTATCTTTCTTTGTATTTAAATAAGGTATAGTTTATATACTTCTTTTTGTATTCTTTTCCTGTTGTTCACTCAGTTATGTCCCACTCTGTGCGACCCCATGGACTGCAGCATACCAGGCCTCCCTGTCCATCACCAACTCCTGGAGCTTGCTCATACTCATGTCCATTGAGTCATGTCCCTCCAACCATCTCGTCCTGTGTCACCCCCTTCTCCTGCCCTCAATCTTTCCCAGCATCAGGGTCTTTTTCAATGAGTTGGCTCTTCGCATCAGGTTCTAAAGTATTGGAGCTTCAGCTTCAGCATCACTCCTTCCATTGAATATTCAGGGTTTATTTCGTTTAGGATAGACTGGTTTGGTCTACTTGATGTCTAGGGGACTCTCAGCAGTCTCCTCCAGCACCACAGTTTGAAAGCATCAGTTCTTTGACACTCACCCTTCTTTATGATCCAGCTCTCATATCTGTACATGCCTACTGGAAAAATCATAGCTTTGGCTGTATAGATCTTTGTCGGCAAAGTGGTCTCTGCTTTTGAATACACTGTCTAGATTTGTCATAGCTTTTCTTCCAAGGAGCATGTGTCTTTTAATTAGGTTTAAATTGGAAACAGCTTAAGTTTTAATTTTCAGTATTACTAGCTTTCAGTGGACAAGTTAAAGGAGTTTTATCATAGTATATTTCTAATTCTTCTCTTCCAGTGATAGTGCTTACTTATTTTTCTTTGCAAGTAATTGTTGTATCTTTCAAGTAAATCATATTATTACTTTTTTTTTTCATTTATCTGTGCACATTCATAGGAATCAGGAATAGTAGTTCCACAGAGTGCAAGTATCTTCTTCACTTTCTGCGACTGCAAGTAGGTTTCTGAAAAGTTAGCAGTGGCACACTAACTGTTGTCTTCATGATGTTTTCACTTATCTTAAGAAACTTTTTTTGTAGTTTGTTAAAAGCCCACTTAGCAGTTCTTTTTATGACAAATTATGGTACCCTATTTGCTGTTACAGTGCCAGGGACAGAGTTTTGTATAATAGGAAAGGGCTGAGAAGTTTGTTAACTGCTCCTTTCTTTAATCAGGAAGGACCAATGTTACATCAGAAAAATGTATCATTGGGTTTCTTTCCTTTTAAAATGTTAAGTCCTGGCAGTATAATGTGTAAAATATGTGAGCAGCACACAGTTCCATTTCTACCACTTCTTCATGGGTGAACCTCATTTTTTTGTGGCTTAAGTTTATTCTGTAGGATTTAAACATTTGAGATTTCTAAATAAAGTTAAAGATATCTCATAGTGATCATTTAAAAATAACTCCTAGCAAGTGACTTGGGGAGATGAGGTGGATAAGGAAGATAGGCAGTGATAAGTGAGAACTATTTTGTACTCGGGGAACTTGCTCATTTCTTGGTAGTTGTGGTTACAACAAACTTTTAACTCAAAGCAGAAACATATGCTCTAGGGATGACCCTCTGAGAAGGTAGCATTTAGGTTGAAGTCTGTAAGGATAAAGTAGGATTTGGGAAGAGGGATGAGTGGTAGTGTGGAGTGCAGAGAAGCATTCAAGATGGAGGCAATAGGAGGAGGCACAGAGATGAATAACAGGAAGTGATGTGGTTTTGTTTATGCCATAAGATAACAAATAGTAGGAGATTCATTGGTTTAACTTGAGAAGATTTTTGGGATCAGACCATAAATAGCTTAAATATATTATTTTTTTTTTTAGCTAGTAAGAGACTACAAGGTTCTTAAGACATGAGCCTGTCACAAAACATTAGGATGGAAGTTGTGATTTGGGCAGTTAACTGGCCATTGTGCATAGATTGATTGGAGAACAGATACTCTTAACACATTATAGTAGTTTTGGTAATAAACCAATAATGCTGAGAGCAAAAGTGATAGCAGTAAATGAGGAGGGTGGGACAAGTCCAAGGCTAAGGAAACGGCCTAACAGTTTGATATCAGAGACATCCCTGGTTTTTGCTTGGTGTATACTTACTAATATTAATATTTTAGTAGTGCTCCTTTTCGCTGTGAAGTTTTTCATGACTTGGACAAGGTATCAGATGATCTTAAAGACTGATTTGCTTTAGAATTGATAGCATTTGCTAATTGAGGGGGAAAGGGGATTTTGGGATAAGAAACCAGAAGGTAGACCAGATTTTTAGAAATTCTTATGTTCATGATTTTGTTAAATTTTCCTCTTTTGGAGAATTAAACAAAATTTCCTTACCTGAATACCACAGTTGAATCTTAAATGTTTAAAATCTCAGATTGTTTTCATTTTTTGTCTTTTAATGAAGACTTAGACATAGAGACTATACTATATTTAATTTACCTAACATTTTCATTGATTCCATTTAAAAGTAAAGCTTTTTAAGAGATTGTTAATTCATCAGTGTAGCTTACGTAAGAAGTGTCCAAATAGAAACATAGCTAGCTGGTGGCAGTTGAAAGCATCTTGTGTGTTAATATCCCATTACTGAATGGGCTTTAGCATGTAGCACCTTTTGTTCCCCCTGGAGAAGGAAATGGCAACCCACTCCAGCTTTCTTGCCTGGAGAATCCCATGGACAGAGGAGCCTGGTGGGCTACAGTCCTTGGGGTCGCAAAGAGTCGGACGTGACTGAGTGACTGAGCGCTCACTCACTCACTGTTTGTTTCCCGGATCTTTGTTTCCTGATTGAATCCAGTGGCTGTAGTCACATGATACCTATTTTATGGTTTTTGCATAGATATGGCTGTAATGGATATGGACCATTTCAGGCGCTTAGTGCTGTTGTCTTTTCCATGTATAGGCAGAGGGAGAAGACAGCCTGAAGAAGATGCAGCTGATGGAGCTTGCGATTCTCAACGGCACCTACAGAGATGCCAACATTAAATCACGTAAGACCAGAGCTTACAGCTGTCTCAGCTGTTTTGTCCGCAGACACCCTCTCCTTTTGGCAGCACAGTACATGAACAGTTAAAGTGAAGAGTTGAAATAATTGTCACTTGATATGGGCTTCACTGTTCCATTTCTACTGTTTTCAAGAATGAGGGCACTCCCTTGATTTTATTTTATGCCAGCATGCCTAAGTTTTGAGTTTATGAGCTTTTGTTTTATTCTTTTGATGAAATTTTAGCTTCTGAATTCAAGAATTTCAAAAAATTTTTTGTTAACTACAGATTTAAAACTTCTAGTTTATTTTGTTATCTTTATGCAAAGAAGTTTTTTCTAAAAGCTAATTTGGAATATACATGAATGCAGTGATTCTTCTGTTGAATTCTGTTCTTTCACCTCACTTGCACGTTTTTCCTCCGGTATTTTTCCTGTATTGATTTCATATGTGAGTTCACAGAGAGCAGTAGATGGCACTGCTTTTAATGCTGTTTTCCTCTTGATGTGTATTGCGCATGTTTTCATAAACTGTAAGAGGATTGCTTTTTCATATTTAAAATGAAATAATGTGAAATTTATATTTTGAGACAATGTATTCATCATTCATATGAACATAGTATCATTTAAATTAGAGGTATAGAGTTTTAAAGACATAGCCAGCTTTCCAATATAGAGTGGTTACTTTTTGTAAATGGTTGGTTTTAATTTACTCATGAAAATGAGTATATCATTAATAGTCATGTGTTTAGGAATGTGACTTTTTTTTTGTATTTTCTATGAAAAAGTTAATCACTACAAATGTAGGAAATTAATAACTTGGTTATTTGGCTAAGTTAATACAATGAAAATTATTCTTTCCTTCATTTGAAACTGAAGCTACTCTTTAGAAATATACTAAAACTGTATTTCTGTGGACTCCAATTACAGAGTATTTTTAACATCTTTTAATGCAAGTGTTTTCTTGTGCTTGTGCATGCACCTTTAGTCTCATGAGATCTTAAAAATACAGATATACTAAATATATGAAGTAAATATAACCTATTTTAATGGTCTCATTCTTTTTTTCCCCCCAGTGGCGTTTTAAATTTTGCACATTTGTTCTTAATCACATTGGGAAAGGGGAAGCTGTTTTGCATTTGATTGGTGTGCTTTGGCATTTTTGTGTGATCAGCGCATGTACTAATGATTTCCTTTTATTTTTCTTCTTTTCTGCTTCTTTCCTTTTTCCTCCTTCCCTCTCATTTTCCGTGTTTTACACTGCTGTCTCTGTACTTCCTTCTAAATTTCTTTGCTTACTGTAGCAGCCCTTGCCTTTTCTCTTGCAGCGACAGCCCAGGCTGCTCCAAGGATTATCACTGGGCCCGCGCCGGTGCTCCCACCAGCTGCCCTGCGCACTCCGACGCCGGCTGGCCCTACCATAATGCCTTTGATCAGACAGATACAGACCGCTGTCATGCCAAACGGAACCCCTCACCCTACTGCTGCAATAGTTCCTCCAGGGCCCGAGGCTGGGTTAATCTACACACCCTACGAATACCCCTACACGTTGGCACCAGCTACATCAATCCTTGAGTATCCTATTGAACCTAGTGGTGTATTAGGTAAGTTGTTCTCCCTGTATGGTTAATAGCATTTTTCTTCATCACTTTTGCTACCCCAGACTTTGAAATGATATATCCATTTTAGAGAGGCAAGACAAGCTTCCACTGCAAAGACTGAAAACTAAATTTTATTTCAGCCTCTTATAAGGGTTCCCCCTTTAAATAATTGTACCTGAAATTTATTCAGATGCACTTTGGTGACTGACGGTCACTTTGGTTGGGTAAATTTGCAATGAACATTTTAAACAGAAAATGCTTTTCACTTTTGACATCACCGAGGTCATTCTGAGTGTTAGATCCCACCCATAGGCCTACCCCTTCATCAGCTCTACCACCCAGAGTTTTTAGATTGCTTTTGTGTTGGAAATTTATTTGTTGGTTACATTTTTAATTTTTGTGTGAAAGTCTTTTGAGACATTTTAAACCTGATGTGTGTTTTCTGATATTTGTGGTCACTTAAAATATAAAAGGGACCAGATAAATAGTTGCATTCTTCAGGTTTCTTCAGTTTTTCTCTTTTGAAGTCCTAGTTAGTATTAAAGATAAGAGACGTTCTTAGTTTCAGTAGTACAGTATGAAATTGATAAGTAATACCAAGTCTCACTGAATTAGAATCATAATTGAGGCAAAAATTAAGATGCTGTAAACTCTCAGTTTTACATAAACAAGAAGTGGTGTGCTTGAAAAAGACATTACTGACGCCTTTTTTTTATAGAGTGGATTGAAATGCCAGTCATGCCTGATATTTCAGCCCATTGACTGCTGGATGAAGGACTAGAGCAGCAGCTGTTCTAACACGACCAGTCAATGTGGACACACTGTTTCCGCGCTGCCCCTTTGTTTTACCAGACAGAATTTGAGTTCTTTTTTCTTGAATTGTACATGACTTTGGTGCTGCGTGCATGCTGTTGACTCTTAGGACTTTGATCTTTTAAAGTTATTTTTTCCCCAGCATTAATATTGATTTATAAAAATTTGAAAGTTTTTAATGAACCTGGACGCTAAGATTGAAACTTGAAAATTCATTGTTCAATTAAAAAAAGCCACAGTGCTCTGTATGTTATCTGTGTGTGTGCATGCACTCAGGTGCATTTTGTTTCATGAGCAAATACATTTTATTGTACATGTTTTCCGTTTATCTCTAAATCATTGTAAAAAGTATTTTAGGTCAGAATCATACAATAGAACTATTTCTGAGAGGCTTGTTTCTGTTGCACATTTCTTGAAGCATTTTTAAAATAACATGTAACCTGTAACCTGTTTACGTTTTCCTTTCTGTTAACGCTCTGTCCTGTGGCCCCATGCCTGCTCCTTTCCCCAGAGCTCCTCGCTGCTGCACGCACAGCGTCTGTTCGAGGAGTTTGACTGATGCTTCCCGCAGGGCTGGCACTCTGAGCCACCAGCTGCTGTTCCAGCACTCTCAATGCAAGATCTCACTGATTTTGCCTCATCGAATTACACTTATATAAGATTAGTTTTTCCAAAATGAAAAAGGGGTGATGGACCAGTTTACTACTTAGAAACAGCAAGAGGCACTGCAGTTAAATTTCCCATTTTAAAGCAATGTGCTTTTGTTGTGTTGGAAAATTTTTATTTATAATACTTAATTATTAGACTGACAAAATTGAAAGTAAAATACACAGATACCTAATTGACATTCATAAGGTGAATGATAATGAGCACTAAATGTCAAGATTCCATTATTAGTTTTATTTCTCACTTTGCCACCTCAGCAGTAAAACATGATATTGACCACTTGGAGAATTGAGAAAATGAATTTCAAGTTGCTATGTTATAATCAACTTGCACACAGATAACATGCATGCTATATATCAAGTCTCACATGAGTATTTTAAAATAAGCAGTGCCCTTCAAAACAGATGCAGACATATGTGTTGGTGGTAGTGAGGAGATTGGTATTAGCCTCAAATCTTCATTGATGACTAATTTTTAATTCCCTTCCTTTTATCTTTAGGTATGGCTTTCCCAACGAAAGGCTAAGAATTCAAGAACGGTCTTAACTGAACCCTCATCAGATCTGAATTTAACAAATGCTTAGTCTCAGCAGCCTCCAGGGGGGTGGGAGGGAAGCTTAGCCTAGCAGTCAGTGACTTACTTGCACTTTTTGCACACTGATAGAAAGTAAAAGTATGTTATTAATTGGTTTAGTCTGTAATCTTACAAAGTAACGGTAATTTATACAGGAGTGTATAGTAGTATACTGACTGCTAAGTGTACTATACTGTTTGCTTTACTAATCACCTAATTCATTGCAGTTCATACTTATTGACTCGAAGTTTAGAACCACAATCTGTAGGCTTTAAGAATTGCATTTAAACCTTCTTAAGTGATAGACTCTGGAAGTGTGGTCTTAAGGTTAGCAAATAATTGTCAATATTAAACATGGCATTATTTAAGTAGTCCTGCTGCAAGAAAGGCACTTCAGTGAATATGTGACTAGTAAAGCCTAACTATGTTTGGATCTAATAGAGTTCATGAAATCTGTAACTTGGGATTTTAAATGAATGGATAAAATAGGTTAAGGCCAAGATGATTGAAATGAATGCAATATTAATAGATGCATATATACGCAACATATAATGGTTAATTTTAAGACTACTGTGCCTTAACGTGTTTCCTAAAACAAAACTTTTGTAGTAAATGAACATTTGAAATCCATTGTGATAAACCTGCTGTTAATGTTTGTTTTCTTTTCCCTTGTGAATGTTTTCTAACTTTGTCTTGGTAATTGCAATTTAACTAGGTGCGGTGGCTACTAAAGTTCGAAGGCACGATATGCGTGTCCATCCTTACCAAAGGATTGTGACCGCAGACCGAGGTTAGTTTAGTTCTGCAGTTCTTGTTTATGAGAAGTGCGTTGGGTGTTCATAAAGTTTGCAACACCACACCTGATGGAAAAAAATCACTGCTTGCCTGCACATCATTTCTTTTCCTTTTCTAAATTAATTTGTAATAATTGAAAGATTTAAGGGTTGGGTTTTTTGGATGTTTTCTTTTCCTCCCTTCATATTTTAATTTATTAAATTCTATTTTAATATGTACAATGATTTATTTCTACTAAAATGTAAATTAGTCCATCTGGGGAGCTATTAAATTCTGATGTTGCCTTATTTATCAGGAATAATTTTTGCTAAAATTTACCTTTTAGTTGTTCTGAAATTTTGGGTTGGTTTTGCAAAAAGAACTAAGCAGATGGTGCTTTAATGAGAGAAGTAAAGGAATATAGTCCTCCTGTGTCCTTTTGGAGAAAACTGAAGATTTAGTTTCCATTTTCCTTTTTAGTAAGATACTTGAACCCCACTGTATACACACAAGGATATACATACATGTCAGGTCCTTAGCTGAAATAAAAAAGGGGCTGTGAAGATGACTTTGATGAAGTTGGATTTTTTAATAAATGAGAAAATAATTTCCCTTTTATTCTTACATCTTGTCCCAAAATGGATCCTTTGATTTTTGTCATTTGCTGCTAAAATATTATGTGAAGGTAAACTATCTCTTGAAATTTTGTGGTGACATGAATCCAGCTGTTTGAAAGTCCTTTTTGACTAACCCGTGACTGGAAAATAAGTCTTCATTTTTCTCCTTTTCCACATGTATAATTTGTGTCCTATATATGCCCTTGGACCCTTCTATAAAATTATTTATGTTTATTGAGGAGTGACGGTTTTGGTTTATTGACATTGTTTTCTGAGTTTGTCATTACAAGGTAGCAATCCAAAACAAGATTTTAAAAAGGGATTTTTGGGTTTTTTTTTGCAAACTTCTATTATGGCACATCTTTACCTACTAATTAATTTGATCAAAGTCTCTAATATTAGTGGTGGAAAGTGATGTATTTACACCCCAGTCCTACATTTTCTATGAACTTGAGAAAGATCTCATCTGTCAGTTTCACATAGTTATCTTAAATACTGATGGACACAAATGCTGTCCACATCAGAATAAAATACCTTTCCAAAGACATTGATGATATTTATTTAGCATCATACATAATTAAAGAGTTTGAAGACTTTTAACTAATGCATATATTACGCACAGAGATTATTGAATAAACAGACCCCCCCCCCCCCCAAGGTCAGTGGTTATCTATGAAGATAATATAAATGTAAGTACATCATGCACCACAAGCAAATAAATGACCCTTTTTGTATTAGAAAGTCTCCTAGTGAAGGAGGAAATTTAAAAAAAAAAAAAATCTTTTAAGTAACTTTTCAATTTAAGGAAATTGAATACTTCCACACAGAATTGGAAGTTTTTACATTGTTAATGTCTGAAACAGTTTTAAAGACTGTTTTAAAGTCATCTTTCTGTTAACCTTTCCCTGCATGCCCTTTTAAAGAGATTTCTCATAATTTTATTTTAACACAATTATTGGTCTAGTCAACACTCCAGTGCCTTGAAACAGTTGAAAATATTAGAAAGATTATACTGTATTTGAAATTGACAGCACATTCCATGAGAAGCTCTTTGGTAGTTTATGTGTTTTCATTAGTCCTATCACTGTTTTTATTCAAAATGCAATGTCAGCAAACCGAAATGCTCTTTTTTTCTTTTTTTTTTTAAATAACAGATACTTGTATACTGCTGTTACTATCACTGTATGCACTCATTGGGTCTAAGGGAGAGGTCTGAAGTTCTTCACTTAAATTATTTTATGATACTACTGTTTTCTCTTATTTTTGAGGTTTTTTTAATGATTATTTTTTAATCTTTTGAAGGGAAGATTATAAATATTCATTTATGCAAGGAAACTCAGCCCTTAGACATATAACCATGTAATTCTATATGAGCATTTAGAGTACTGCATGGTTGACAACCATCTAGTTCTTTACTAAAAATACCCACACACACACACCCCCCCCCCCCCCCCCCCCCCCCCCCCCCCCCCCCGTTCACATATTTCGAAACTGAATATGAAGCCTATAAAAGACCAACTGACTTTTTAGTTGTAAAGAACCGTAAGTGATTTTGCACGGTTGACACACCTGTGTGTACTGTAGCAGGCCAGGACTCGGCAGAGGACATATTTCTAGGTTTACTGGTATATATAGAAACAGTAGTTTGCTTGTTTATATATTCCACACCCAAAAAGGCGTAATCAGAATTTTTCTAAATATTTTACAAAAACCATCATTTACATAATTTGTATAAAAAGCTTAATACAATTTTAATCAAAATTTTAAGTAATTTCAAAAATGCTTTAAGATTCTATATTTCTGGAGTACCTATGAAGTGGTATGACTACATCATGTGAAATATTTATTTTCTTCTTTAACTTTGGAGTAGCAGTTTTTATTTTAATTAAGTAAAATTCCAATTTTTTTAAACAATTTCAGGGAAGATTTGGTCACATTGAAGATACAGTATTTTTGTAGTATTTATAAGCTGTCCTATGTGATAGACTTTTAGAAAGCATTTTTTTTTTATATGAAGGTAAACCAGTCCATTATATAGTTCATTTAAACTCTGTGAACATTACTCCTACTGGGTTTTGATTTATCAAGTGGCACAGAATCTGCCTTTGCACTGAATATCTTTTCATTGACATCTCCTCTGCCTTAGTCACAGTGGCAACAGTACAGAAAATTCTCTCAAACCTCAGAATATAGTAGAAATAATTAAAGCTGTTGAATGAGTCTTAAAAATCATACTACTGTTAAGTGGACCAAGTTTGGTGAAGCAGAATGTGACAGAGGTTGATTAAGGAAGGAGCAACTCAAGGACATTGGGAACGATAACTTTTCCACTTGAGAACTACTTTATGTTTTACTGTAATTTTTTTAAAAATTTTTTTGTTCTGTTTGTTATTTTGCAAAAGAAAATAGTATTTACAGGTGGCTTCTTTTAAAATATAAAATATAAAGCAGGAATGTATATGAAATGTCAGATTTTATTGTATTTGCAGAGTATTAGCTTTGAAATTGAATAAAGAAAGCTGTTTGTAGTTTTAAAATGCCTTATTGGTATCAATTAGAAATTTCTTCTATTTTTTGATGTACTTAGAGCTTTTTGAGTATAGAATTTTAAATGGCAGGATTTTACAGTGTTTACATGCAAGTGCATTTTATAAGTGTTCTATATGTGTAAAATAGTATTTCCAACTGGAAAGTGTTGGCCTGCGCGGAAGGCCTGGCCCTCTTCTGGTTCCCATGATGTTGCCCACACTGCTAGACTACAGTTTAGTGTTGCTTTGTATCATGAGGCCAAGAAATTCCATGTTGTTTGTAAATAGAATAATTGAAAAAGCAATAAACATTTATTGAACAAAAGAAACTTTGTTTGGCCCAGAGTTTATGTTGAACCAGATTATTCATAGAAATTTAAATTTCTTTAGATTCATTTCTGTTAATCATTGATTATTAATAATCACATCCATCATTAATAGTTGCTTTAATGCTTGCATCTGAGAGAATACTAATGCTTAATAGCAGTCAGACACTGGTAGCTGCACTGACTGTGTGAGAATTCTGTACACCGAGCCTATTCATTGATGTTGTTTTCCGGTTTCCTTCATTGACTGCTACTAACTATTAGTTGTTAGTTGTATTTTATTTCTATTTTTCCTGTTAACAGTTTTTTTTTTTTTTTTTTTTTGTGGGAGTGGGCTCTCCTTCATTTGTTCAAATCATGATACGAAATTGTCATGATTTTTATTGTATTCTGTAGATGGTGTTAATCAGTTTGTCAGAATTAAACATGCTTTTTTTTTATTAGTTGTGATTAGTTTTTCATGTTGTCATTAAGCCGTCACTAGCTGAAACTAATCTCTTCTCTATCTTTTTTTTTTTTTTTTTTTTTTTTTTTGTTTTTTGTTTCTAACCACCCAGCCGCCACCGGCAACTAACCTATGACCTTCTGACCTCTGAACTCTTCACCCAATGATGACCTGACCATGCCTGCCTGCTGATCAGTTAACTGGTAATCGCCTTTGCTTGCCTGTCGTCAGCGCAGCGAGCTGAGGCACTTGTCCGTTCGTCTTACCATCTAACCAAACAAAAGACAAAAGAAATCGTTGTCCTCCAACTCAGCTTTCGTTTGTTTTGTTTTGTTATTTCTTTTTCTGTTTGGGTGAAAGTGGTTCTAGACCCTGCACTGAAGAGTGTAAAGCAATAAGGCCCAATCCTTCCCCCAGCACTGACCACCTTTCAGTGTCCGCCCTAAGCGAACGGTGAGAAGGCCTCACTGCAGGAGGGCCAGCGACAGAGGCAGTTACTGTGAGAGACTTCTAGGAACCTCTCTGCATAGCGAGTCAGAGCTCTGAATGTACTGTGTGCTGATGCATCATGCATGAACCTTTGGTCAGGGATGTCATTGGTGAAGCGATTTCAAAAAGTATTCAAAATTTGACCTGCTCTTTAGTCACTACAGTGCCCTCAAAGGGCAGAAGTCGCAGCCTTTTTTATATTGCCTGCCAAAATTTGAAGTATTAGAAGTGTGCCATGAGAGAGAAACTTGACAAGGAATTTTGGAAAGTAATGCAAAGAACAAAACTGCAACACTATTTTTTAAAAGATAAATATCTGAGTTAAAATTACTGAACCTTTATTTTACACCTCCTTTAAAAAATATATGAGAACAAGGTACATGCATTATGTGTCACATTACTGGGCAAACTGTTCAAATATTTTTTTTAACCTTCCTTTTTTGGAAAAAAATCATTAAGGATGTAAAAGCCATGCTTGCCTATTTGCTGTATACATGTAATGAAATTGTAGATAAAGTGTAGTGCATTGAAACAAATGAACAAAAAAAGTAGATACTTTTACTATACAAGGGTGCTGGTGCAGAAAAAATATATATATTTTTGGAAATGTAGCATTTTATACTTTCAAGTGTTATAAAAAAAAGAAAAAGAACAAAGAAACCCTTTATTTCATTAAATGATTTTTTCTGGTGGTTGTCAAGAAACAAAAGACCAAAAGAGCCTTTTTGTCTTTCTTTTTTATTTTTTAAGTATTGGAATAAGTCTAAAGAAAAGAAAGTGCCTTATTTTCCTTCATGGTCATTTAGTCAAGTGTCTTGTAAGATTAGCTCCTCCCTCAGAATACAAGTCAATGCCTGTCACTCAGTCGCCCAGTATGTGAAAGAAGATGTGAGGGGAGACACATGAGTTGATGGCTTGAATTAAATGATTTTTGCCACATTACCTTGATATCAATTTGCCAAATCTGATACTGTGAAAAAATTTGATAACTTTTCTAATTCCTAACAAGTAAGTTTGAAAACATCCTTTTAAAATCACAATCGAGTGCTTTTGGTAATTGGTATACGTAATGTTAGCCCAAAGGGTTCTGAAATAAACATTACGTGTGATTAGAACACCATTTCATAGACAAATTTAGAATCTTATTTGGTGGGCGTGTTGTTGGATTTTTTTCTTATTAATCGGTGGTAATAGTATACGCAGCAGTCTTTTTCACAAGAGTGAATCTTTGTGATTTTCATTCTGGATAACAGTGTTTGTAAATGACCCAAATTTAAATCAGACTCGTTTCTACGGAACCAGATCACTTGTGTAGTCCATCTCTGCTGGTTTCAGTGGCCTAAGCCTCGACCACACATACACACACACATACACACACACACACACACACACACACACACACACACACACACACCCCACACGCCCCCAGCCCCCATTTAACTTTAAAGGAATGAGAGAAACTAGCATCCAATTGTGCATAGAATACTCAACTACATGTGAGTATGAACTTGCAGTTTCTCTGGACGTTCAGTCAGTTTTGTAGCTGAAGTGATCTGTGCACAAAGCTCTGCGTCGGAACTCGAGCTTGCAGATCTAACTGATCTGTAAGCGAGCATTAAATGCCCAGTACCAGATGTGGCAAATGGCAAGTGGCTGTAGGTCCCCAGCTCATCAACTCCTGCCCTCTGCATACCGTCACGGCTTCACAGTCAAAGGTCAGCAGGAAGCTCAGTAAGCACCTTCGCGGTGACCTCCATCATCTTGTCCCCCTTGGAGACCGTTTTCAGTTTATTTACTATGCAATAGACATTTGTTGTTTTGTATTCAGCTAGCTTTGGTTCAGTGTGACACTGCTTGTCTTTCTGTTACACATAGAGTTGTTTTGATTGATTTACCATATGTGCTGTGCCATTTTGATTTTTATTTTGTTTGGTTGGTTGAATAAATTTGTGACACTCAAACACTTGAGGTGATAGTTTAAAAACGATACCAGTATTTGATCCAGTTTCATCTCAACTGTGTTATACCTGGACATTTTAGATGTTTATCAAAGGTCTTTTATGGGGAAGAAAGTAAATGTATAAAATAAATGGCGTGACATTTATGAGTAATGTTGGCTCTGAACAAAAGTTTGAAAACTTAGTTGATAAAATTTTGGATCAACTGAAAAAAAGCATGACTTTTGAAATCTCTGAATGCCTTGGTTCTCAGTATTATCATTCTTTATTGAATTTCTTTCTTATTAAAATATGTAGTTTTTAAGACTTTTTTTTCTGACAGTATTATGTAATTTTTTAGCGCGGGTAGATGGGAGTGTCGCTTGTATGTTACCGTACGGCTGACATGTATTTTTGTCTATTCTTTATTATCTCAGTAGTTTCATGCTATGTATGTACCATAACCAACCTATTGCCTATGAGAAACATGTAAGATAATGTATTTACAGCCATTGTTACAAGTTTATAATGTATTTTTCTATCTTGTTTTATATGTATGTTATATAACATTCAAAAAGAATTTTTTTCTTGATTGAGAAAAGGATACAAAATGCAGAATCCACAATTTTGATAACTGAAAATTGCCAATTGTTTTCCAGTACTTTATTACATTGGGTGTCTTGTCTTTCTTGGGCTTTTAGTTAGCTAATGAATGAATACATTAGACACTTTTGGGTTTTAGTTGGGATTTTACATAGCTTGCATTTTAATTCTTTGGTTCTTTGCTGTTTCTATTAACCCATAGCATTATTTTAATAAATGTTATAATATCAACCTACTAACTCTGGACTATGTCTGTTTATTAACCTTTACATGTTTAATTAAAATAAACAAATAAAGACAAAAGAATGTAAAGTCTTGAATTACTGGACTAACCCTGAAGAAAGTGACCACAGATAACATAGCGTGACTTGTTTGTATGTTGTTTGTCAGCTGACAGTGCCGCACACTACTGTTAAAATGGCTTTGGTGATTCTGGCCTTTTACCTTGGGGGTAGGTGCCAGTGGAGACGGGAACAAAGCAGTGTTGGTTTGAAGCGTTCTTCTAGTCTTGCCACCTGCCTTTCAACTTCTGCATTACTAATTCCACACTTTCCTATTTTTCCTTCTCCAAAATAATCACTGTCTGCTCACAGCATAAAGAGTAAAGAGATTTATCGGAATGATATACCCAAGAAACCAGTTTGATTCTTTGTTGAACCATTTTAAAAATTTCTATAAGTAGATAATCTAATGGTCACATTATAAAGCAAAGCATCTGATGACGTCTTACCTTTCTTCAAATTGGTGTTTTAATTGGACATTTTTCCAGTGTAAAGTTATGAACTGTTTTGGCTAGCTGCTCCTGTTACGGAAAGCCAGAGGTAGAGTGGCTCCGTGTCTCAGGCCGGCCCAGCGTCGGCCGTTGATGACGAGCACGGACGCAGGTCCCTCAGCACGAGGTCAGGCGGCATCGCTGAGCTTGCTCCCTCACCCTGTTCCACAGTACGGTCAGAGTACATCAATGCAAGAAGTCAGGGGAGGGACCGTGCATTCGGAAAGTAATACATATATCATTGTTTGCATGGGAGTTAATTTAAGGAGATTTATTAACTTACCTTCCTGCTTTTCTTAGCTGCGGCCTAGGTAAACTGGACCTCTACTTAACGATTCTTTTAACTCTTGAGGTGCATTTATGTTTCACAGATAGTGGTATATCCTTTTCTGTGAAATGGTCCTCCTGGATGATGATAATTCTCAGGACAAATTTTTGCATTTGCAAATAATGCCTTATTTTTGTAAATTGCTTTTTATTTATTTTAAAGTTCTAAAATTTGGGGCTGAAATGAGTCACATGTTACAGAAGACATAACCACACCAATATGGTATTAACCAGACTGTCAAAACGTAGTCCCATAGTATGTATACATACATGAAATACATAGAATAGCGAGAGCATCAGATTTAATCATAATTGAGGTGGTTCTTTCGATCACACAAATACACTGCTTCTCTGATGGGATGGGGGCAATCTATTATTGTTAGGTAGACAGCTTTAATATGCTACTATCCATAAAAGTTCACATTGCCAT